GGAGAAAGGCTCCTGGGCCGGAGAGACAAAGGAGGCTACGGGTGGAAGAGTTCGGGGTAGCCTGGACGAAGGTCGTGGGAGTTGGGAGAGAGGGCTAATGAGTACCCGCGACGAAACTAAGAGTGCGGACGTCGGTGTGAATAAACGGCAGGCAGCCCTGAATATTCGACCGTGGTCTCCGTCTGAGTCTGCGATCCCACAGGGCATCCTGAAGCACAACGCTACACTAGAACAGCACCCCCGCCGTTGTGCTGGGGAGCAAACAGACATGCACAATCTGAGCACGACGTTTCGCCAGTAATTACAACCAGCATCAGGCAACAGCCAGATGATGCGTTGTGGCTTTGCTCTCTAACGCACCGGTGGGCGCTGTACTAGTATACTACACACTACACATTACACTACTATACACTACACACTATACATTACACTACTATACACTACACATTACACTATACACTACACATTACACTATACACTACACATTACACTACTATACACTACACATTACACTACTATACACTGCACTATACTACACTATACACTGCACTATACTATACACTACACACTACACTATACACTAGTGCTGTACTAGCAACGAATTGCCACGTTCCGTTAACGTGACAACCCTCACCAGTTAGCTGTCGGGTGGTGGCGGGGGGTTTAACGACACAAACATTTATACATTTACGCGATCTAACCCAAGAAAACCCCGGATTATGGCTATTGTTACGTGTTAAACAGAGGAGTTTAATAGTAGTCTAGTGGCTAAGAGTAACCCTCCCTTACCAACACCTGTGCCAGGGGATTCTGTGCATCGAACTTCCGTTCGACTCGTTTTTATTACACGCTTTGATACTGTATAGGAACCTCCTGGTTCCACCGGCCCACAGGGGATTATTGTGTCCGTCCGTCCGTCGTGCAAAAATGGGAGGGGTCGGGCTGGGTGGAGAGGGGAGGGTGGGGCTGGGTGGAGTGGGGAGGGGCTGGGTGGAGAGGGGAGGGGCTGGGTGGAGAGGGGAGGGTGGGGAGGGGCTGGGTGGGGTAGGGCTGGGTGGGGTAGTGCTGGGTGGGGTAGGGCTGGGTGGGGAGGGGCTGGGTGGAGAGGGGAGGGTGGGGAGGGGCTGGGTGGGGTAGGGCTGGGTGGGGTAGGGCTGGGTGGGGAGGGGCTGGGTGGAGAGGGGAGGGTGGGGAGGGGCTGGGTGGGGTAGGGCTGGGTGGGGTAGGGCTGGGTGGAGAGGGGAGGGTGGGGAGGGACTGGGTGGGGTAGGGCTGGGTGGGGTAGGGCTGGGTGGGGTAGGGCTGGGTGGGGTAGGGCAGGGCTGGGTGGGGTAGGGCTGGGTGGGGTAGGGCTGGGTGGGGTAGGGCTGGATGGGGTAAGGCTGGGTGGGGTAGGGCTGAGTGGGGTAGGGCTGGGTGGGGTAGGGCTGGGTGGGGTAGGGCTGGGTGGGGTAGGGCTGGGTGGGGTAGGGCTGGGTGGGGTAGGGCTGGGTGGGATAGGGCTGGGTGGGGTAGGGCTGGGTGGGGTAGGGCTGGGTGGGGTAGGGCTGGGTGGGGTAGGGCTGGGTGGAGTAGGGCTGGGTGGGGTAGGGCTGGGTGGGGTAGGGCTGGGTGGGGTAGGGCTGGGTGGGGTAGGGCTGGGTGGGGTAGGGCTGGGTGGGGTAGGGCTGGGTGGGGTAGGGCTGGGTGGGGTAGGGCTGGGTGGGCAAGGCAGCCACGGCACACACGAGGGGGTGGGCGGCCACCAACCACGTCCGGCTGATCTTCACGACAGTTTTCCCTCCACGTGGAGAATCAACAACACGCGTTTGGAGTATGCGGCTGCCAATTCGTGGGTATTGTACTCTTTATTTTCCTCTCCACCATCCCAGGTCCTCACTCGGTCCCCACCCTTCACGCCGGCTTGTGCCCGCCCTCACAGTCGGGCATATTGTGCGGAATACACCACGTGGTGGTGCCGCTGTTGACCCTGGCCATTGAACGTTCCTACCAGCTCCCTCCGCAGGAGAATGTGTTTTAACTCGCTGTCTGTTGTTGCATCCTCAAATCTTGCAACTCAATGTTAACCCACTTCCCAATGTGGTATCGACTGCAAACTTGGTATACCTCTGTGTCATACCGATGGCAATACTATATTCTATCATAAAAATTTAAAATAAATCTTTTTAAACAATATTTCTTACATGTTATGTTTCGGCTTGGGTCTAATTGTCCACGATCGTTGGCTGTAAATCATCACCACGGGTCCCTTACGTTCTGGCAAACTTTGGGGCCACTTCCTGGAGTGGTGCAGTTCTTCCATTGCTAGTAGGGTACATTTCATTAAAGCGTTTTTTTTTTATGTAAACATTACCTATTATTATAGTTTTTAATACTCGATGCAACCAGGAACAAAGGTAGATTTTATTTATTTATATTCAAATCGGCACCGTGAAAAAAATTCAGCTGCGTCACCACCGCAAATGATACCGCTAAAAAAATCCAAATCCCCCCCCCCCCCGCACACACACACAAAGGTCGGTTTTAACTTCCAACCCATCAGGGAAAATAAATCTCAAGATTTAACAACAAAACACGGGGAGGGGAACACTCCTCTACTTTGCCCGATCGCGAACGCACGCCTCAACTTTCATTAGAGATGTAATGGGCCACCCATTGAGTACGTACACAAAAAATCTGTCAAAAACTTGAACCCTTCCCCCCTCCCTGTACGCACGCGTACTTGTTACACCCCCCCTCCCCCCCCCCCCCGGAATCCTATAGATTGGCCGATATTTAATCCATGCAGAAACGATCAAGGATTAATATATTAACGTGTTTAAGCAAAACAGATAGTCCACCTCCGGACTATTGAACTTATTTGAAGGCCAATGTAGACAAAAAATGATTATCAAGGCTTAACCCCCCCCTCCATGCGTACATACTAATGGATGGCCCATAAGCACGCGTGCGTGTGTACGCGTGCGCACTAAGTCCAACGGGTCATTGACGTTTTTGGGGTGAGATTGCGTGAATATATCAACATTGTGTCGTTTAAACCCGCCACCACCCGACACAGCCAATTAGTAAGGTTTGTTACGTAAACAGAACGTGCCATCCACAACAGGTTTTTTGGGGTTAGATCGTGAAAATATACGAATGTTGCTGTGTCCTCAACTCCGCCACCGCCCGACAGCCAATCGGCAAGAGGGTTTTTTGCGTCACGCAAACAGAACGCGGCCAATTCGTTACTAGTACAGCGGGCGGGCGGGCGGGCGCGTTGCTGGCGAAACGTCGTACTCTGGATGAAAGTGCTGCGCATTTGCTCTCCCAACACACCGGTGTGCTGTAACTAGTAACGGAATCTGGCTTTAACACGTAGTAGGCTTTCGCGACCAATATTATTCATAATAAAGGTTTTTTGGGTTAGATTGCGTTTATTTATAAGCGAGGGCTTTACCATTCTGGCGAATTGCCCGATGATGCTGGATGTATTTACCAGCGAAACGTCGTACTCAAACTGTAAATGTTGTGGATTCACTCTTCAACGCACCGGTGGGCTAAAGTAGTGAATTATTTGTCTTTTTGTCAACGTGACACTTTTTTTTTGCCGATTGGCCGTGTCGGGTGGTGGAGGGTTACGACACATTTATAACTAAACGCGATCTAACCCAAAAACCTTTATTATGGAATCTGGCTCGTTCCTCTTAGCGTGAAAAACCTCACCAATCGGCTGTGTCGTTGGTGGGCTGGCGGGTTTAACGACACGTTCATATTTACGCCATCTAACCCACCACCACCGCTACTTTCGCAACCGATATTATCCGGGTGTTAGATCACATTCGATCAGAATTCTGGCAAATCGCCTGAAGCTGGTGTCATCTAGTCACCGGCGAAACTCCTCGAATTGTAAATATTGTGGGTTTACCCTCCCGACACCCAAGCGGCGAGAGTGATCAACTCGTAACCGATCGGGGCCACGTTTTCGTGTTCACGTGACAAACGCTTACCAATTTGGCGGTGTCGGGGTTTATCGACACGCATTTGCATTTGCGCCATCTAATCATGGATAACAAAAAGCTAAACACAAAAAGCGGAATAGCATATACCAACATCCGCCATTCGGTGGCGTAACCACGGCGCCTGTGCCAGGCCAGGTGCACTTTGGGGCCATCACGTGAAGTGTCGAAGGCTCGCTGCTGGCAGGAGGAGGTCACGGGACAGATCCACACAGCTGTCAACCCCCATACGGTATACTCTCTATTCCTGTACAGGGGAAATTTAGTTTCCGGGTCCATACAGTGTACGCGGGTTTCAATACGGACAAAAACTACTTTGAAAAAAACGTGTCAATTTGTTTGCGTTTCTCCCTCGCGACGGTGGGACTTCGTAGGATGAACGTTTAGATTTGTAAGGTCTCACCGGGGGTGACCAATAAGGTCTGAAATTGGTCTGTAATAAGATAGGGACTGTTATTTAAGGGCACGGCACGGAGGCATTTGGTCTCTGTGTCTCTCTCTGTGTCTGTCTGTGTGTCTCCGTGTCTGTGTGTTGTCCCTCTCTGCTTGTGTCTCTCTCTCTCTGTGTCTGTGTGTCTCCGTGTCTGTGTGTTGTCTCTCTCTGCTTGTGTCTGTCTGTGTGTCTATGTTGTGTCTCTCTCTGTGTTGTCTCTCTCTGTGTCTGTCTGTGTGTCTCCGTGTCAGTGTTTTGTCTCTCTCTCAAATTTAGTTCTACCCGATGACGACTGCTTGTGTTGCAATCGAAACGTCGTGCTCTATTATTTATTAAATTTTTCTTTCTTCGTGACTTCACCGACAGAACCAAAGAGTAATTCCTGCAGTGACGAAAGCTTCAAATCAAGATAGGGGCACTGGATAAGGGATTGACAGCGATGGATACAAGTGGCGCCATGGGTTGACTGACCGAGATGACTGGCAGATGCACCAGCTTGTGCCCACCTGCTCTGCAAGAGTACAGGGTGCTTAAAAAATGTTAACGCTTATATGGAACTATCGTTTTTAATCGGGGGGGGGGGGGGAGGAAAGAACGTATAATACTACACCGTAACGCGATAACAAATCTAACTTTTTATTTAAAGCTTTCGTGACTGCTGCAGGGATTCATATTCTTGGTTCTTTCGGTAAAGTCACGTAGAAGGGAAACAAGAAAATAATAAAAATATATTATTGTTTCCCTTCTACGTGACTTTACCGAAAGAACCAAGAATAACAAATGTAACGTTAACAGCTTAAAAAAAAAAAGTGAAAGTCTCCCGCTCGTTTGCCATTCGTCGTCAACGCATGCCTGGAATCCCGCCCCCCCCCTCCTCCCCCACAGGTCGTCCGGTAACCCGCAGGGGGACATTTCTCTCGTGGGGTTGTCGCAAATTCTCAGAAGCGTTATGAACGTTTAGTTTTGTTTAGCTTTGAAGCACCCTGCGTATACGCACACGCACGCAGAGCGCACAACGCACGCTTCGTGGAATCAAGCTCCGTCGTCCGGGTCCGGTTGTCGTCGTCCCGCCTCCCCCCCCTCCCTCCTCTCTCGCCCTCTCTCGCGTCCGCTGCCTCGTTTAAGACGTGTCCATCGTCACCTCGGGGCCTGCGAGACAGAGACCACGGTTGCACCGTCGCCGCACGCAGAGGCTCACGGCGTACGAGGCCCACTACACCCCCCCCCCCCCCCCCCCCCCCCCCCCGCGCCCCCACGTCGTAAATAATTAACGCTGGAGGAAATCCGATAAGCTACAAAGCTCTTCCACAATACAGGTGTGTTTTTTTTGTTGTTGTTGGGTTAGATCGCGCAAATATATGAATGTTGTGTCGTTAAACCCGCCGCAGCCAATCGGTGAGAGGGTTTGTGTCACGCAAACAGGGCGTGGCCAATTCGTTAGGGGTACACTCTGGACGTACGGCACCTCAGTGAGACAGAGACACTTACAGTGGAGGGCAAGGGGGGGTGGGGGGCACTAGGGGGGTACTCTGGAAGTACGGCACCTCAGTGAGACAGAGACACTGACAGTGGGGGGGCACTAGGGGGGTACTCTGGACGTACGCATCTCAGTGAGACAGAAACACTAACAGTGGGGGGCAGGGCGAGTTGGGTGGGGGGGCACTAGGGGGGTACTCTGAACATACGGCACCTCAGTGAGACAGAGACACTGACAGTGGAGGGCAAGGGGGGGTGGGGGGCACTAGGGGGGTACTCTGGAAGTACGGCACCTCAGTGAGACAGAGACACTGACAGTGGGGGGCAGGGGGGGGTGGGGTGGGGGGCACTAGGGGGGTACTCTGGAAGTACGGCACCTCAGTGAGACAGAGACACTGACAATGGGGGGCACTAGGGGGGTACTCTGGACGTACGGCACCTCAGTGAGACAGAGACACTTACAGTGGGGGCAAGGGGGGGTGGGGGGCACTAAGGGGGTACTCTGGACGTACGCATCTCAGTGAGACAGAAACACTAACAGTGGGGGGCAGGGCGAGTTGGGTGGGGGGGCACTAGGGGGGTACACTCTGAACGTACGGCACCTCAGTGAGACAGAAACACTGACAGTGGGGGGCACTAGGGGGGTACTCTGGACGTACGGCACCTCAGTGAGACAGAGACACTGACAGTGGGGGGCGGGGGGGGGGGTGGGGGGCACTAGGGGGGTACTCTGGATGTACGGCACCTCAGTGAGACAGAGACACTTACAGTGGGGGGCACTTGGGGGGTACTCTGGACGTACGCATCTCAGTTAGACAGAGACACTGACAGTGGGGTGGGGTGGGGGGCACTTGGGGGGTACTCTGGACGTACGGCACCTCAGTGAGACAGACACTGACAGTGGGGGGCACTAGGGGGGTACTCTGGACGTACGTATATCATTGAACATGAAGGCATCCTGGTACTCCTTCATGTACTGCGTGGACCGCGCCTCGTCCAGGAAGAGGGAGTAGACTCGTTTGATGTCCTCCACCTGCACCTCCGTTCCCTGCGGGACGCGGGGACAGGTTCGACGTTCTGAGACCGACCCCAGGCCCAGAGCAAATCACCACACGGCCTGCTGTGCCGAGATGTCCTTACGCACAAAAGACAGGGCAGTTGGAGGCAGTCGCCCTCCAACAACAACGGGGGGCGGAGGAGCGACGCTCACAACAACGAGCGGAGCGCCGGGTGGCTAAAGCACAGCGGGTTGGCACAGTACGGGTGGTGCATCAGCCAGCCACCTCGGTCATCTCAGTCAGTCGACCCGTGGCACCTGCTGGGCCCGCCCCGTGACCTCCTGCCGGCGGGCGTTCGACACTTCACGTGGCCTCAACGCGCACCTGGCCTGGCACAAGCGCCGTGGTGACGTCACCGCCACTTAAGTGGCGAATGGCGCTTGTTGTCGTTGAACTCCTTTCGCACCGTACGTAGCCAGCCGCGCGCTAACTGGAGGCGCGACGGCGGTGGGGGGGAAGGTGGGGGGCAAGGTGGGGGGCAAGGTGGGGGGGGGGGGGGGAGATCAACAAACTAACAGCCTGCGGGCGCCCGCCCACCTTGCGCTTGCGACACACGAGGCTGGCGGCCGTGATGAGCTGGATGGCGTAGCGGAGCGACGTCTCCATCCCAATCTTCGTGAGCACGGTGAGGGCGTCGTCATGCATCTCCACGTCCTCCTCCTCGCAGCTTAGGACACGCGGAGGGATAGACAGATACTCATCATCATCACGCATCTCCACATTCTCCTCGTAGTTGAGTACACACAGATACTCATCATCATCACGCATCTCCACATTCTCCACGTAGTTGAGTACACACAGACACATCATCATCACGCATCTCCACATTCTCCTCGTAGTTGAGTACACACAGACACACATCATCATGCATCTTCACATTCTCCTCGTAGTTGAGTACACACAGACACACATCATCATGCATCTCCACATTCTCCTCGTCGTTGAGTACACACAGACAACACATCATGCATCTCCACATTCTCCTCGTAGTTGAGTACACACAGACAACACATCATGCATCTCCACATTCTCCTCGTAGTTGAGTACACACAGACAACACATCATCATGCATCTCCACATTCTCCTCGTAGTTGAGTACACACAGACACACATCATCATCATGCATCTCCACATTCTCCTCGTAGTTGAGTACACACAGACACACATCATCATGCATCTCCACATTCTCCTCGTAGTTGAGTACACACAGACACACATCATCATGCATCTCCACATTCTCCTCGTAGTTGAGTACACACAGACACACATCATCATGCATCTCCACATTCTCCTCGTAGTTGAGTACACACACACACATCATCATGCATCTCCACATTCTCCTCGTAGCTGAGTACACACAGACACATCATCATCATGCATCTCCACATTCTCCTCGTAGTTGAGTACACACACACAGACACATCATCATGCATCTCCACATTCTCCTCGTAGTTGAGTACACACAGACACACATCATCATGCATCTCCACATTCTCCTCGTAGTTGAGTACACACAAACATCATCATGCATCTCCACATTCTCCTCGTAGTTGAGTACACACAGACAACACATCATCATGCATCTCCACATTCTCCTCGTAGTTGAGTACACACAGATACTCATCATCATCACGCATCTCCACATTCTCCTCGTAGTTGAGTACACACAGACAACACATCATGCATCTCCACATTCTCCTCGTAGTTGAGTACACACAGACAACACATCATCATGCATCTCCACATTCTCCTCGTAGTTGAGTACACACAGACACACATCATCATGCATCTCCACATTCTCCTCGTAGTTGAGTACACACAGACACACATCATCATGCATCTCCACATTCTCCTCGTAGTTGAGTACACACAGACACACATCATCATGCATCTCCACATTCTCCTCGTAGTTGAGTACACACAGACACACATCATCATGCATCTCCACATTCTCCTCGTAGTTGAGTACACACAGACACACATCATCATGCATCTCCACATTCTCCTCGTAGTTGAGTACACACAGACACACATCATCATGCATCTCCACATTCTCCTCGTAGTTGAGTACACACAGACACACATCATCATGCATCTCCACATTCTCCTCGTAGTTGAGTACACACAGACACACATCATCATGCATCTCCACATTCTCCTCGTAGTTGAGTACACACAGACACATCATCATCATGCATCTCCACATTCTCCTCGTAGCTGAGTACACACAGACACACATCATCATGCATCTCCACATTCTCCTCGTAGTTGAGTACACACAGACACACATCATCATGCATCTCCACATTCTCCTCGTAGTTGAGTACACACAGACACACATCATCATGCATCTCCACATTCTCCTCGTAGTTGAGTACACACAGACACACATCATCATGCATCTCCACATTCTCCTCGTAGTTGAGTACACACAGACACACATCATCATGCATCTCCACATTCTCCTCGTAGTTGAGTACACACAGACACACATCATCATGCATCTCCACATTCTCCTCGTAGTTGAGTACACACAGACACACATCACCATGCATCTCCACATTCTCCTCGTAGTTGAGTACACACAGACACACATCATCATGCATCTCCACATTCTCCTCGTAGCTGAGTACACACAGACACACATCATCATGCATCTCCACATTCTCCTCGTAGTTGAGTACACACAGACACACATCATCATGCATCTCCACATTCTCCTCGTAGTTGAGTACACAGACACACATCATCATGCATCTCCACATTCTCCTCGTAGTTGAGTACACACAGACAACACATCATCATGCATCTCCACATTCTCCTCGTAGTTGAGTACACAGACACACACACATCATCATGCATCTCCACATTCTCCTCGTAGTTGAGTACACACAGACACACATCATCATGCATCTCCACATTCTCCTCGTAGTTGAGTACACACAGACACATCATCATCATGCATCTCCACATTCTCCTCGTAGTTGAGTACACACAGACACACATCATCACGCATCTCCACATTCTCCTCGTAGTTGAGTACACACACACACATCATCATGCATCTCCACATTCTCCACGTAGTTGAGTACACACAGACACACATCATCATGCATCTCCACATTCTCCTCGTAGTTGAGTACACACAGACACACATCATCATGCATCTCCACATTCTCCTCGTAGTTGAGTACACACAGACACACATCATCATGCATCTCCACATTCTCCTCGTAGTTGAGTACACACAGACACACATCATCATGCATCTCCACATTCTCCTCGTAGTTGAGTACACACAGACACATCATCATCATGCATCTCCACATTCTCCTCGTAGTTGAGTACACACAGCCACACATCATGCATCTCCACATTCTTCTCGTAGTTGAGTACACACAGACACACATCATCATGCATCTCCACATTCTCCTCGTAGTTGAGTACACACAGACACACATCATCATGCATCTCCACATTCTCCTCGTAGTTGAGTACACACAGACACATCATCATCATGCATCTCCACATTCTCCTCGTAGTTGAGTACACACAGCCACACATCATGCATCTCCACATTCTCCTCGTAGCTGAGTACACACAGCCACACATCATCATGCATCTCCACATTCTCCTCGTAGCTGAGTACACACAGAGATACAGAGACGCACATCATCATCATCATGCATCTCCACATTCTCCTTCCGTCTCACCGGATGGAGAGGATCTGCTGAGTCTCACGCTCGCTGTACGGCGTGGTGGAGATGATGAGCAGCCGGTCGAGCAGGTCAATCGGCAGCCCGTGCGGGCTCTGATAGCTCGTGCCCCGGATCCTGCGCACGCCACGGTCAAGAGGTCAAGACGCGTGGGGACAGGGCCGGCGTTGCTTGGAGGGGGGCGGGCGGGCACAGCAGCGGTTCTCAAGAGTGTGGGGGGGTCGCCCCGGCTCACCGGCGGGTACTCGGGTCGGGTCCTCCGGGATTCGTTGCGCACGGCGACGCAAAAGCAGGTTGATCATCGGTAAATAATGACAACCGTTACGTGCGTCTTTCATAATTACAGGCTTTATCTTTTTGGGGGTTAGATCGCGTAGACGTATGAATGTGCTGCGGCGTTAAAACCCGCCACAGCCAATTAGCACGGTTTGTCGCGTAAACAGAACGTGACCACGCCAGCGTTCGAGTTGTCGTCGGGGATACACGCCCATTGCCATGACCATGATCATCATGATATCATCATATCACCATTCTGGCGAATTGCCCGATGATGCTGGATGTATTTACCAGCGAAACGTCGTACTCAAACTGTAAATGTGGATTAACTCTTCAACACACCGGTGGGCTGAAGTAGTGAATTATTTGTCTTTTGTCAACGTGACACTTTTTTTTTGCTGATTGGCCGTGTCGGGTGGTGGAGGGTTACGACACATTTATAAATAAACGCGATCTAACCCAAAAACCTTTATTATGAATGATATCATCATCACTATCACAACGCCATCACAATTCTTACCACTATCAATATCATCACCACCACCATTGTCATGATTATCACCATTATCGCCATCACAATCATCACCATCACAATCATCACCATCACAATCATCACCATCACTACCCCCCCCTCCGCCGTGTTTGGCCATAACAGACTGTCGGGGCAAGTGCTGTTAGCGAGCAGCGCCTATGAAGGCTGGCACTGACACACGAGGGGGTGGGTGGCCAGCATCACGCCCAGCTGCCCTTTGCCTTCCCAACGGCGATGTTTACTACACTACACCGCATCAGGTACTCATTTGAGGCCGAGTCGACCTAAGGGAGGCCCAGGACCGGTTCAGACAACTGTCACCGGTGTTGGCCGTGAGCAGGAATCCAACTCGGGAAACCGGGTCCGTAGCGCAGCATAGCGCGAACCACTGCGCTACACTTACCGCCACCATCACTACCTCAACAACCGGACAATAACCGTAACCAAAAGCAGGCCCACCACTATCATCATCGTCACCACCATCACAAAAGCAAAATTATCATCAATATCATCACCACCAGCCCAATCACCACCACCCATCATCATCATCACAAATGCAAAATCATCATCAATATCATCACCACCACCACCACCATCATCATCACATGCAAAATCATCATCAATATCACCACCACCACCAGCACCACCACCATCACCATCGTCAACATCCTCATCGTCATGCCGGCACCTGGTGATGCCGCGGTTCGTGGCCATGATGAGCACGGGAGCCATGTCGCTCTCCAGGGCTCGGTTCAGGAACGAGAAGCACTCCATGTCCAGCATGTGTACCTCGTCTATAAACAGCACCTGAGACAGTCACGGAGACAGACACGGGGAGACACACGGGGAGACACACGGAGACACGGGTCATCAGCATGTTGTACCTCGTCTATAAACAGCACCTGAGACAGTCACGGAGACAGACACGGGGACGGAGACACAGAGACACGGGTCATCAGCATGTTGTACCTCGTCTATAAACAGCACCTGAGACGGTCACGGAGACAGACACGGGGACGGAGACACAGAGACACGGGTCATCAGCATGTTGTACCTCGTCTATAAACAGCACCTAAGACAGCCACGGAGACAGACACGGGGACACACAGAGACACGGGGAGACACACGGAGACACGGGTCATCAGCATGTTGTACCTCGTCTATAAACAGCACCTGAGACACGCGGGGACAGACACGGAGACAGACACGGAGACAGACAGACAAGGAGACACACGGAGACAGACAGACACGGAGACAGACACGGGGACAGACACGGGGACAGACACGGAGACAGACACGGAGACAGACACGGGGACAGACACGGAGACAGACACAGACACGGGGCCAGACACGGAGACAGACACGGAGACAGACACGGGGACAGACACGGGGACAGACACGGGGAGACAGACGGAGACACGGGGAGACAGACGGAGACACGGGTCATCAGCATGTTGTACCTGGTCTCTAAATCAGCACCGGAGACACGCGGGGGGACACGCGGAGACAGGAGACACGCGGAGACACGCTGGGACAGAGACACGGGCCATCCAGCATGTTGTACTTCGTCTATACATAGCACCCGAGACACGCGCGACGATTTGTCTGACGACGACGCTACTGCTGCCAATGTTGATCATAGTCGTGACGATGATGGTCGTGGTAGTCAACTTGGTGGCGATGTTAGCGATGATAGTTGTGATGACGCTGCTGCTGCTGTTAATCATAGTGATGATGGTGGTGATGGCGTGATGATGATAGTTGTGACGCTGCTGTTGCTGGTGTTAATCATAGTGATGATGGTGGTGGCAGTGATGATGGTTTGTGGTAGAGGTGGTGACAGTGATGATGATGTCATGATGATGACAGTTGTGACGCTGCTGCTGCTGCTGCTGCTTGCTGGTGGTGTTGGCGATGTTCCTGACGATGACGACGTCTCCTCACCCCGGGGATGATGTCCGCCTTCCCCTCCTCCCTCCACTCTGCCACTTTGCTGTTGATCTGCTCCCGCACCTCGCTCTTTATCTCACCCGTGTCTCCTGCACAGATCAGCAGCAGCACCAACATCGACATCATCATCAGTAGCATCATCAGCAGCATCATCAGCTGCAGCAGCATCATCATCAGCTACAGTAGCATCATCAGCAGCAAACACAGGGAGACACTGGGAGTCACAAAGACACAGGGAGACACTGGGAGTCACAGAAAGACACTGGGAGACACTGGGAGTCACAGAAAGACACGGAGACACTGGGAGTCACAGAAAGACACAGGGAGACACTGGGAGTCACAGAAAGACACAGGGAGACACTGGGAGTCACAGAAAGACACAGGGAGACACTGGGAGTCACAGAAAGACACAGGGAGACACTGGGAGTCACAGAAAGACACAGGGAGACACTGGGAGTCACAGAAAGACACAGGGAGACACAGGGAGTCACAGAAAGACACAGGGAGTCACTGGGAGTCACAGAAAGACACAGGGAGACACTGGGAGTCACAGAAAGACACAGGGAGACACTGGGAGTCACAGAAAGACACTGGGAGACACTGGGAGTCACAGAAAGACACGGAGACACTGGGAGTCACAGAAAGACACAGGGAGACACTGGGAGTCACAGAAAGACACAGGGAGACACTGGGAGTCACAGAAAGACACAGGGAGACACTGGGAGTCACAGAAAGACACAGGGAGACACTGGGAGTCACCAAGACACAGGGAGTCGCAGGGAGACACCGAGGAGAGTCACGGGGAGTAACGTACCGGAGAAGAGCGCAAGGAAGCCCTGCGTGCGCGAGTTGATGACATCCACCTCATGCAGGGACACCGTGTGCACCACCTCCTTGCGCTTCTGCAGCTCCCCCTCGGGGCACTGCACGAAGCGCGTCTACACGGGGACGACACGGGGACGACGCGGGGTCACGCGGGGTCGACGCGGGGACAACACGGGGTCACACGTGGGGGTACACGGGGTCGACACGGGGTCACACGGGGACGACACGGGGTCACAGGTGGGGGTACACGGGGTCACACAGGGTCACGCGGGGTCACACGGGGACGACACGGGGTCACATGCGGGAGTACACGGGGTCACACGGGGACGACTCGGGGTCACGTGTGGGGGAAGAGACAACGCTGGCATGCCACTTCTTACACTGAAAGGGTGACCACCATACTATAGACCACCACGCTGGTATCTGAACTGAAAGGGTGACCACCATACTATAGACCACCACGCTGGTGTCTGTACTGAAAGGGTGATCTCCATACTATAGACCACCACGCTGGTGTCTGTACTGAAAGGGTGATCTCCTTACTATAGACCACCACGCTGGTGTCTGTACTGAAAGGGTGATCTCCTTACTATAGACCACCACGCTGCTGTCTGTACTGAAAGGGTGATCTCCTTACCATAGACCACCACGCTGGTGTCTGTACTGAAAGGGTGATCTCCATACCATAGACCACAATGCTGGTGTCTGTACTGAAAGGGTGATCTCCTTACTATAGACCACCACGCTGGTGTCTGTACTGAAAGGGTGATCTCCATACTATAGACCACCACGCTGGTGTCTGTACTGAAAGGGTGATCTCCTTACTATAGACCACCACGCTGGTGTCTGTACTGAAAGGGTGATCTCCTTACTATAGACCACCACGCTGGTGTCTGTACTGAAAGGGTGATCTCCTTACCATAGACCACCACCACCACGCTGGTGTCTGTAACTAAAAGGGTGATCTCCTTACTATAGACCACCACGCTGGTGTCTGTACTGAAAGGGTGATCTCCATACTATAGACCACCACGCTGGTGTCTGTACTGAAAGGGTGATCTCCTTACTATAGACCACCACGCTGGTGTCTGTACTGAAAGGGTGATCTCCATACTATAGACCACCACGCTGGTGTCTGTACTGAAAGGGTGATCTCCTTACTATAGACCACCACGCTGGTGTATGTACTGAAAGGGTGATCTCCTTACTATAGACCACCACCACCACGCTGGTGTCTGTAACTAAAAGGGTGATCTCCTTACTATAGACCACCACGCTGGTGTCTGTACTGAAAGGGTGATCTCCTTACTATAGACCACCACGCTGGTGTCTGTACTGAAAGGGTGATCTCCTTACTATAGACCACCACGCTGGTGTCTGTATTGAAAGGGTGATCTCCTTACTATAGACCACCACGCCGGTGTCTGTACTGAAAGGGTGATCTCCTTACTATAGACCACCACGCTGGTGTCTGTACTGAAAGGGTGATCTCCTTACTATAGACCACCACGCTGCTGTCTGTACTGAAAGGGTGATCTCCTTACCATAGACCACCACGCTGGTGTCTGTACTGAAAGGGTGATCTCCATACCATAGACCACAATGCTGGTGTCTGTACTGAAAGGGTGATCTCCTTACTATAGACCACCACGCTGGTGTCTGTACTGAAAGGGTGATCTCCATACTATAGACCACCACGCTGGTGTCTGTACTGAAAGGGTGATCTCCTTACTATAGACCACCACGCTGGTGTCTGTACTGAAAGGGTGATCTCCTTACTATAGACCACCACGCTGGTGTCTGTACTGAAAGGGTGATCTCCTTACCATAGACCACCACCACCACGCTGGTGTCTGTAACTAAAAGGGTGATCTCCTTACTATAGACCACCACGCTGGTGTCTGTACTGAAAGGGTGATCTCCATACTATAGACCACCACGTTGGTGTCTGTACTGAAAGGGTGATCTCCTTACTATAGACCACCACGCTGGTGTATGTACTGAAAGGGTGATCTCCTTACTATAGACCACCACCACCACGCTGGTGTCTGTAACTAAAAGGGTGATCTCCTTACTATAGACCACCACGCTGGTGTCTGTACTGAAAGGGTGATCTCCTTACTATAGACCACCACGCTGGTGTCTGTACTGAAAGAGTGATCTCCTTACTATAGACCACCACGCCGGTGTCTGTACTGAAAGAGTGATCTCTATACTATAGACCACCACGCTGGTGTCTGTACTGAAAGGGTGATCTCCTTACTATAGACCACCACGCCAGTGTCTGTACTGAAAGAGTGATCTCTATACTATAGACCACCACGCTGGTATCTGTACTGAAAGAGTGATCTCCATACTATAGACCACCACGCTGGTATCTGTACTGAAAGAGTGATCTCCATACCATAGACCACCACGCTGATGTCTGTATTGAAAGGGTGATCTCCATACCATAGACCACCACGCTGATGTCTGTATTGAAAGGGTGATCTCCTTACCATAGACCACCACGCTGGTATCTGTACTGAAAGAGTGATCTCCTTACTATAGACCACCACGCTAGTGACCTCGCGCTTCTCACCTGCGCTCCCATGGCGTCGTAGTCACGGGCACGGGTGAACGAGCGGCCCAGCTTGCTGATTTTCCCGGTCGCTTTGTCAATGGTGATGACATCGCTGAGGGAGCGGGTGGGTTAGAGGTCGGTGGTGCAGGCAAAGGGAGTAACGTGAAGGGAGACAGGGAGGGAGGGGGAGAAGGGAGATGCGTGAATGACGATTCTGAACGATAACTTTGTATTCATTTGACCGCCCATTCGCTCGCCCACTCACTCACCCACCGGTCAACTGACCCACCGACCGGTGGTGGTGCCGGTGGTGGTGGTGACGGCGGCGGTGGTGGTGGTGCCAGCGGTGGTGGTGGTGCCGGTGGTGGTGGTGCCGGTGGTGGTGGTAATCGTGGTGGTGCCGGTGCCGTGTGGGAGCGCCTCACCCGGCCTGAACCTTCTCCCGCGTCAGCGACTCGATCATCTTGTTGCCGAGGTCGTAAATCGTCTCCATCTCGGTTGTCTTCAGCGTCAGCTTCCCCACCTTCGCCCCCTGTGGGTGTCCGCAGTGGCCGGTTCAGGTTCACAACGGCCAGGTTTGGGTTCAGGTTCACAATGGCTGGGTTTAGGTTCAGGGTTCACAATGGCTGGGTTTAGGTTCAGGGTTCACAAGGGCTGGGTTTGGATTCAGGTTCACAATGGCCGGGTTTAGGTTCAGGGTTGACAATGGCTGGGTTTGGGTTCAGGGTTCACAAAGGCTGGGTTTGGGTTCAGGGTTCACAATGGCTGGGTTTGGGTTCAGGGTTCACAAAGGCTGGGTTTGGGTTCAGTGTTCACAATGGCTGGGTTGGGTTCAGGGTTCACAAAGGCTGGGTTTGGGTTCAGGGTTCACAAAGGCTGGGTTTGGGTTCAGGGTTCACAAAGGCTGGGTTTGGGTTCAGATTCACAAAGGCTGGGTTTGGGTTCAGGTTCATCATGGCCGGGTTTGGGTTCAGGTTCACAACAGCTGGGTTTGGGTTCAGGTTCACAACGGCCGGGTTTAGGTTCAGGTTCACAACGGCTGGGTTTGGGTTCAGGTTCACAATGGCTGGGTTTAGGTTCAGGTTCACAACGGCTGGGTTTGGGTTCAGGTTCACATTGGCTGGGTTTAGGTTTAGAGTTCACAAAGGCTGGGTTTGGGTTCAGGTTCACAACGGCTGGGTTTGGATTCAGGTTCACAACGGCCGGGTTTAGGTTCAGGGTTCACAAGGGCTGGGTTTGGGTTCAGGTTCACAACAGCTGGGTTTGGGTTCAGGTTCACAACGGCCGGGTTTAGGTTCAGGTTCACAAAGGCTGGGTTTGGGTTCAGATTCACAAAGGCTGGGTTTGGGTTCAGGTTCACCATGGCCAGGTTTGGGTTCAGGTTCACAACAGCTGGGTTTGGGTTCAGGTTCACAACGGCCGGGTTTAGGTTCAGGTTCACAACGGCTGGGTTTGGGTTCAGGTTCACAACGGCCGGGTTTAGGTTCAGGTTCACAACGGCTGGGTTTGGGTTCAGGTTCACAATGGCTGGGTTTAGGTTCAGGGTTCACAAAGGCTGGGTTTGGGTTCAGGTTCACAACGGCTGGGTTTGGATTCAGGTTCACAACGGCCGGGTTTAGGTTCAGGGTTCACAAGGGCTGGGATTTGGTTTAGGTTCACCACGGCTGGGTTTGTATTCAGGTTCACAACGGCCGGGTTTAGGTTCAGGGTTCACAAGGGCTGGGATTGGGAAGAACTTACAAACCTCCACTCAGAAACTGCACACGCATGGACCGTAATGGCTCAGCCAAGTCAAGAATCAGTGACTATAGACACTGGGGAGCTGGTTGTGAGCCCTGGGTGTGTGTGGTGTGTATGTCGTGTGTGTGTGGTGTGTGTGGTGTGTGCATGTCACTCACCGTGCCAGTAGCTGGTCTATCGATCTGAATCTCTACCACCTCTCCCTCTATGATCTCAGTCTCCTCCCTGTAACATACAAAGACCAAGTCCGCAGGGTCAGAGTGAAACTCAGGGTCAGAGTGGGACTCAGGAAGACCGGGTCTCAGGATCAGAGTGGGACTCAGGGAGACCGGGTCTCAGGGTCAGAGTGAGTCTCAGGGAGACCGGGTCTCAGGATCAGAGTGAGCCTCAGGGAGACCGGGTCTCAGGGTCAGAGTGAGTCTCAGGGAGACCGGGCCTCAGGGTCAGAGTGAGTCTCAGGGAGACCGGGTCTCAGGGTCAGAGTGAGTCCCAGGGAAACCGGGTCTCAGGGTCAGAGTGAGCCTCAGGGAGACCGGGTCTCAGGGTCAGAGTGAGTCTCAGAGAGGCCGGGTCTCAGGGTCAGAGTGAGTCTCAGGGAGACCGGGTCTCAGTGTCAGATACACGACGCCCCGCGTCCCAACGTCTCACTTGATGCGCACTCCGATGGACCTCCTGAACGCTTGGGTCAGCGCCTCCGTTTTGCTCATCTCCAGGGAGAAGATTTCGCTGCCGGCGATCGCAGTGAAGGGAGTGTCAGCCCCAAGTGCTTGAGCCATGCCTGTCCACACGATAGAGACGCAGCGCTAGCCGCTGCACTACACTACCGCCACACCATCACTACCACAACAACCACACAATCACCGTAATCAAAATCAGCCCCACCATCATCGTCACCACCACCATCACGATCATAACCACCACCATCACGATCATCACCACAACCACCATCACAAATGTAAAATCAACATCAATAGCATCATCACCACCAGCACCATCACCACCATCATCATTATTATAATCATCACCACCACCATCACAAAAGCAAAATCAACATTAATATCATCATCATCATCATCACCACCACCATCATCATCATCCCGCGTGCCTCCCCGAGTGTCTCCCCGCGTGTCTCCCCCATTGCGTCTCCCCCTCGCGTACCCATGGCGATGGCAGTCTTGCCGGTGCCGGGCTGGCCCGCGATGAGCACGGCCCTGCCGGCGATCTTGCCGTCCCTGATCATCTCCAGGATGATTCCCGCAGCGCGGCGCGCGGCCACCTGCCCCACCATCCCCTGGGACACCTGCACGCGGAGAAACACGGCACACGACGCGCCAGGTACCGCACCCATTTAAGGCCCGAGTCAAACCTAGGCGGGCAGCCCCAGCAAAACCGTTCAGATTATCGCCACTGGCAGGCGGGCCGTGAGCGGCGAGTCGAACTTCGGGGTCGCCGGGCTCGTAGCGCCGCTCCCCCACAACAGCCACCGCCGTTCGCCAAGACGGTGGCGTCGCCACGGCGCTTTGTGCCAGGCTGCGCGCACTTCAAGGCCACGCGGAGCGTTGAAAGCACCGCTGGCAGGAGGTCACGGGACAGGCCAAGGGTGCCGCGGGTTGGCAAGATGCGCCGCCTGTGGCCCTCCCCCCCCGCCCCCCTACCGTGCCAACCCACCGTGTTGTTTTAGCACCCCACCCCCGGCGGTGGTCCGCTCGTTGTTGCGAGCGTCGCTCCTCTGCTCCCCACAGAGACACGCAACAAGGACCAAAGGCTCCCCCCCCCCCCACGTGTAGCCGGTAACAAGACTGTTGGGGCAAGTGCCGTTAGCGAGCAGCGCCTACGAAGGCCGGCCACTGTGGCACGCGAGGGGGTGGGTGGCCAGCACCACGTCCGGCCGCCTTTGTCTCCCCGGTGGCGACGTTTACACAGCACACCGGGTACTCATTTGATGCCGAGTCGACCTAGGGGAGGCCCGGGACCGGTGCGGATAATCGTCACCGGTGTTGGGTGGCCGTGAGCGGGAATCGAACTCGGGTCGCCGGGTTCGTAGCGCAGCGTAGCGCCGACCGCTACCGCCACCTCACCCACACGAACGCGCGCACAAACACGTAAGCACGCACAAAAAACGCGCGCGCGTTCCCACCTGCCGTGGTTCCAATGCATCGTCGAGGCCCAGTCCACGGATGTGAGAGTGAGCGCCTGGAACGCCGGGAGAGACGGAGAGTCGAGGGTGAGCGGGTGAGACAGAGACACGATGGGAGGGGAGGGGGGGTGAGACACGGGGACACGGAAAGAAACGGGGCCGAAGTGGGGATATGCAAGGAATTGAACGACACGAGGAGCAAAGGCGAGGGGACGATAAGGTGGACAGACCTGGGCTATGTGAATGTTGGCACGTTAAGACGGCCAGCTTCATGTCTATGTCAACACATACACAGGCAGTTCCCCCCCCCCCCCGGGGTTACGGAAGGGTTCAGCTCCCGAGAAATATCCACGACCGGAATGTTTTCCGTACGCCGGGGAAAAAAACTGAACAATTTTCACCCAAAAAATTCACAATAAAATCCCACAGCCGGAAAGTTCCGTGCCTCCGCTACCGTTTTCTATCGCTGCCCGTGCCGTGTCGCCGTACGTACGTACGCACTTCCTACGATTAATTTGATCGAATATCTACCCTAACACTACCCATAACACTGTGTAACAAAAAATATTTAATTTTTGTTCCTGGGTAGTGTTATTTCCTAATTGCTTATGCCTCAAAAGTGCAGAAAATGGCTATCATTCCACCACAAACTTGGCATTTGTGACCAGGACACAAAAGCCAAGTGAATAATCCACTGCATTAATAACCCTGTGTATCAAATGTATTTATTTTTTGTTCCCGAGTAGGAAGTGTTATTTCCAAATTGCTTATGCCTCAGAAGTGCAGAGAACGGCTATTGTTCCACCAGAAACTTACCGTACCGTGTCCAATCGTTTACGAATGCCACGAAGCATGGAAAACGAGCAATTGCGTGATGCTACAACAGGAAAACGATGCCATGCTGGCGGGTAGACTACGCAGGGTAACGATGTTTGATGAGCTGCTCCATAGCTCAGTAGCGGGCCCTTACACCCTGGTAACCGGGACGGAATGAATGTTAACACAAACTATGTTCACAGTTTAGTCTGTAGTTTAAGCTTGTATACTTTTATTTGCATCTATTTGCTCATTATTATTCAGTGACTCGCTCACCCTTTTCTCGATTCCGCACTCCTGTGGTTGGTTTTTTTTCGTGGGTGGGCGCGCGTGTGTGTGCCGTTGTTCGTCGCTGTGAGGGGCCATCCATTTAGTACGTACGCATGGAGGGGGGAGGGGAGGGTTAACCCAAATTCGTACGTTGCGTATGGGGGGGGGGGTCTACTGACAATGTACATACGCATAGGAAACAGGGGTGGGGGGGGGGAGGTGAAGCCTCGATAATAATGCAGCCGGCGGATGAATATCCTTGATCGCCAAGTGCACATACGCAGGTGGGGGGGGGGGGGAGGTGTAAAAACTACACGTGCGTACAGGGAGGGGGGAGAACGGTCGAGCTTTGACAGGTTTTTGCGTACGTACTAAATGGTTGACCCCTAACCGTGTGGACTCCCCCCGCGCGCCCGGCAGGAAACACCCGCGAGCGCAGAAGAGCTTCACGACCCGTCGGTTTCACCGTTCTCGAGCTCTGGGTGCCGCGTTTGCTCCACCACTCACCGATGCGTTCAATTCTCGTGATGTCCCTCACTTCCTGCACCTTCGTGGCGGTTGCCTGCGAGCGAGACGGAGCCCACACGCGTTCGCACGATCACAAATCTGTGCGTGTGGTGTGCGCGCATTCGTAAACGCGCGCAGTGCCTTGAACGTCTCTCGCACGGCCGTACGTAGCCGACAGCGCAGATCGGAGGTGCGGGCGGGCGGGGGGACAACAGAGTAAACGCAACAACAATATTCTCAAGGAGTCTTTCGGTAAAAGTTTACGTAGAGATAGGTTCAAAGAAAACAGCAACAAAAAAAACCACGACGTTTCGATCACAACACAAGCGATCGTCGTCAGCTTTTTTTTTTTTACTCCTGAAGACGATCGCTTGTGTTGCGATCGAAACGTCGTACTTTGACTTTCTTTGAACCCATCTACGTGACGTTACCGAAAGACACAAAGAATATGAATTCCTGCAGTCACGAAAGCTTGAAGTCAAGATACAACAACAAGCAGCAGTTCCGTAGAAATGAGTTCGTCCAATCTAGATCAGGGGTCACCAAACTTTTTTCACAGTGGGCCGGATAACTGAAATGACGAGCGTGGGCCGCATAATAAATAAATATTTCTGGAGCGTCGGACCTGTGTTGACAGCTGGAAAATCTGGGGGGCGGGAAAGATGCGTGTTTGTGTGTTGCCATGGAAACCATGGTAACGTCAGAGCGTAGGCGGAGCTACCACGAGCCGGGGAAGGACTTGGGATGGCGTGAAATAAGCAAACATTACAATAAACAAGAAAATCTAGATACAATAATTTAAAATTTAAAATAGTAAATTTAAGGCACATAGCAGTCAGGAGGTCTCCGCACGCGTGAAAATCTCCTAGTATTCTAAACATAATATCTAAATTTAAATTGTATCACAACGTCTCGTGTTCCATACATTTTATCAACCAAATTCAAGTACCGTCGGCGGGCCTGATGGACTGACGTCACGGGCCGTAGTTTGGTGGACCCCTGATCTAGATGATGATTTAAAAGTGGCATCGTAGATCCCAGCGGCTGCCTAACATCGGAAGGGAGAGCGTTGCAGACGGCCGCAGAAGCGGCGTCGCGATGCGGTGAACCGCCTTTGCTCGATGGTTTTAGCCGAGTGCACGCCCATGAACGTCCACAACGTGGGACCTTTTTCTGCCAGTATGAAAATAAGTAATATTTTTTTAAATACTTTTTTAAAAACACGCTTTAATGAAATGTACCATACGAGTAATGGAAGAGCTCCACGACTCCAGGAAGTGGCCCCGAAGTTTGCCATAACGTAAGGCCAATTACAGCCGTCAGTTGAGCGTGGACAATTAGACGCAAGCCCAAAGACAACGTATAAAAAAGAATGTTTAAAAATATTTTTTTTTTTAATTTTTAATGATAGAATATAGTATTGTCATCAGTATGACATAAGTATACCAAGTTTGCAGTCGATACCCCATTGGGAAGTGGGTAAAAATTCAGTTCCAAGATTTGAGGATACGACAGACAGAGTGAGTTACTAAAAAGCGTGTAAAAAAAATAAGGATAGGTTTTTACCACAAAATTACCTTTGGTTCCATGTGAAAGGTTTCCTATTTTGGTGTTTCAACATCTTAACATAACCTCCTGTTTGATTGTCACAAAGGGTAAAACAGCCTATTCTTATTTCTTCATACTCTGATACTGCCAAAAATGTGTCCCATTTAGCAGCTGCTCACCCCGAGCTCTCAATGCTCCGATGGGGCATTGCCCTTGTGCTGTTTGCCTTCTGGCATCGTTCTCTAGACTGACACTGCTGGTGAGACTAGGCCCTAAGCAAAGCTGCTGTCTCTGGTGTAGGCCAATCAGTTTCACAGACAACGCCACGTACAGTCACACCTCGGTATACGACCGCTTTGGAATACGTCGAATTTGGTACACGTCGTGTTTGGACGGGAAAAAAATGTCTTGGGATACGACGCCTCACTTGCTAGAACTTGTATGGGTTGGGATGAGTCACCGCGTGCAGTACCCGCATACACAATACTCTTACGTCTCTAACAAGCCGTAACAGTATTGTGTGGAATTGACCAGACAATGTCACACTTCAGGAACATTCTTAGAAGGCAAAAACAAACTTCAATGGACAGGTTTTTAGTAAAACTCAAACCTGGTCAGCCTCAACCAGGACCAAGTCAAGAAGTTTTAATGGAAGGGGACTCTCTCCTTCCAAGAAATAACATCCTCCTCCTCCTCCCCTTCCTCACCACCATCCTCGTAGGCTATCAACTCCTCTCAGCAAGGTAATGTGACGTTAAATTTTATTTCAATTTAAATGTATTTACGCATCTATTTTAATTCATGTATGCATTTTAGTAATAAGTAGTGTCTAAATTATTTTACACTATCCCATTAATATATAATATGCCATATAAAATATAATTTCTTATACTCTGGAACGGATTATTCCCTTGACTTCATATGGGAAATATTCGTTTGGTGTTCGTCATTGAACGACATATACCGAGGTACCGCTGTAACATTATTATCAGAGCCATGTTTGTGTTTTTGCACGTTCACCGCAAGTACCGCGCGCGTGTGTGCGTGCGGCTAATGCGGCAAACTTTATTCCTTGAAAAAGCTTTCATCTTGATTTGGAGCTTTCGTGACTGCGGTAATGAATCTTTGGTTCATTCGGTAAAGTCAAGTAGAAAGAGAAAATAATAAATTAAACAAAGCATACGACGTTTCGATTGCAATAAGCAATCAAAACGTCGTGTTCTATTATTTCATCATCATCATCAGGTGTGAAAACCACAGCAAATTTTTTTCTTGCTGTGATTTTCACACCTGTTGATGATTGCTTGTGTTGCAGTCGAAACGTCGTGAGAATTTTAGTGTTTTGTATTATTCCCTCTTTCTACGTGACTTTACCGAAAGAACCAAAGAGTAAGCTTTCATCTATTTGCTGTTTGAACGTCTTGACACAACTACTGTTACATATTCTTGGATCTTTCGGTAAAGTCACGTTAGAAGGGAAACAATAAAATAAAAAAACACTAAAATTCTCACGACGTTTCGACCGCAACACATGCAATCATCATCATCATCAGGTGTGAAAACCACAGCCATTTTTTTCTTGCTGTGATTTTCACACCTGATGATGATGATTGCTTGTGTTGCAGTCGAAACGTCGTGAGAATTTTAGTGTTTTATATTTTTATTATGTTATTTTTCCCTTCTACGCGGCGGTGACTTTACCGAAAGAACCAAGAATATGAATCCCTGCAGTCACGAAAGCTTTAAATCAAAAAATACAACTACTGTTGTTTCTGTTGTTGTTGTTATCGCCCAGTGTGTGGGGTGCCCCGTGTATGACTCATGGGGGAGCGCTACCGCAACGAACCGAATTTCAATTCCAGGGCTCACGGGCCAACAACACCCCCGGTGGCGATTATCACCTGAAACCAAATCCTGGGCACCCCCCCCCCCCCCGCGCCCTCTAGGTCGACTCGGCCTCAAACGAGCACCTTGGTGCGATGTGTAAACATTTGTCACTAGGGGGAGACGAGGACGGACACCCCGGGGCGTGGTGCTGGCCACCCCCACCACCTCCTCGCGTGTCACCGGTGCCGGCCTTGCATCGGCGCTGCGTGCTCGCTGTTAACGGCACTTGAACCCCACTACAATCTGTGTGGAGGAACCTTTGGGCTGTGTTGCCTCCTCAAGGTGCACCTAGCATGGCACGGGCAGCCGTGTGTGGTCTCTAATCCACGTGGAACCATCAACCACTTACCGCGGTCTATCCACTGCTGGCTGATGATCAATGTGATGTCTCTAAACTGTTCTCTCAATCCACGTGTTCCCCTCTCAGTCTCTCAGTATAACCATCAACCACCACCGCGGTCTATCCACTGCTGGATGATGATCAATGTGATGATGATGTCTCTACACTGTGTTCTCTCAATCCACGTGTTCCCCCCTCTCTCAGTGTAACCATCAACCACCACCGCGGTCTATCCACTGCTGGATGATGATCAATGTGATGATGAGGTCTCGAAACTGTGTTCTCTCATCCACGTGTCCCCCCCTCTCTTAGTGTAACCATCAACCACCACCGCGGTCTATCCACTGCTGGATGATGATCAATGTGATGATGTCTCTAAACTGTGTTCTCTCAATCCACGTGTTCCCCGATCTCTCTGTAATCAGCACCACGGTCTATCCACTGCTGGATGATGATCGATGTGATAGTGATGTCTCTACACTGTGTTCTCTCAATCCACGTGTTCCCCCCTCTCCCTGTAATCAGCACCACGGTCTATCCACTGCTCCATGAAGATCAATGCGGTGGTGATGATGTCTCTACACTGTGTTCTCTCAATCCACGTGTTCCCCCCTCTCTCTGTAATCAGCACCAGTCTATCCACTGCTGGATGATGATCAATGTGATGGTGATGTCTCAACACTGTGTTCTCTCATCCACGTGTTCCCCTATCTCTCTGTAATCAGCACCACGGTCTATCCACTGCTCCATGAAGATCAATGCGGTGGTGATGGTGATGTCTCTACACTGTGTGTTCTCTCAATCCACGTGTTCCCCTATCTCTCTGTAATCAGCACCACGGTCTATCCACTGCTGGATGAAGATCAATGCGGTGGTGATGTCTCTACCCTGCTGAGGTAAAAAAAAACAAATCTTTGAGGTAAAAAAATTCGCCGAGGTTAAAAAATCTTTGAGGTAAATCGTTGAGGTAAAAAAAATCGTCGCGGAGGTAAAGCAAATCGCCAAGGTAAAAAAAAGACGTGAATTGTCCCGCATTATTTACCAGTTGCCCAGCCACACAACGTTAACCAACGCACGCCGATTAATTAAGCAATGAAGATGTATTAAAAAAAAGTAATAAAGTAAAGTAAGTCTGTGAACAAAGCAAGTCTGCTAGATTATAATTGCCAAAGCAAGTCTCTTAGATTAATAAAATTACGAACGAGAGAATCTGCGCGCTCCCCTCACGCCGCGATGCGTTCACTCACCGCCGCCATTGCTGCGTGATAAAAAACACGCCCCCTTCCTCTCCCACGTGACTCCAATTCCCTACAGCGGATAGGCGCGGGAGGCGGGTGGGGGGTGGTGGGGGGGGTGATGGTGGTGAGGGGTGGTGGTTGTGGGGGGGATGGTGGAGGTGCCTATCCGCTCTACGGAATTCAAAAGCGGCTCCTGCGCCGACCCCGCGCAGAAAGCGCGGGAAAAGGAGAAAAAAAATATTCCCGTCACGTGACCCTTTCACCCAGAGCCACGCGGATAAGTAATATATCATAATCGATAGATTACAATGTAAGCAATATGTTATAATCGATATATTATAATGTAAGCAATATATTATAATCGATATATTATAATGTAAGCAATATATTTTAATCGATATATTGTAATGTAAGCTTGTATTATAATGTAATCAATATAGTATAATGTAAGATGATATAATAATGTTACCTTATATTATAATCAATATATTATGAGCAATATATTATAATCGATATATTATATTAATAATTATCATGTAATCAATATATTATTATGTCAGCTTATATTTTAATGTAATCGATATATTATAATGTAATCAAAATATTATAATGTAATCAATATATTATAATGTAAGCTTATATAATACGCAATATATTAAAATCGATATATTATAATGTAATCAAAATATTATAATCGATATATTATAATGTAATAATTATATTATAATGTTAGCTTATATAAAACGCAATATACAATAATCGATATATTACAATGTCAGCTTATATTATAAGCAATATATTATAATGTAATCAATATATACAAATTTCATATTATAAGAAATTCATCAGCAAAATATGATCATGTAAGCAATATATTATAATGAATATATTATAATGTAAGCAATATATTATAATCAATACTTTTTTTACAAGCAATATATTATAATGTAAGCAATATATAAATACGAATGATTTTATAATGTAAGCAACCTATCATGAGATTAGAAATATATTATCATGTAAGCAATCAATGATAATCGTACAATTCAATACAAACTTATTGTATATCGTAAGATGCGATATGCTATCGATACGATATGTATGAGAAATATATATCATTCGTCCACTCATTCAATTACCCATGCATTCACCCACTCACTCAATTACCTTCTCAAGCATCCACTTATTCAACTTCCCATTCATTCACTCAGCCATTCACTCACCCATTCACCCACTGAGCCACTCATTCACTCAGCCATTCACTCATTCGCCCACTCATTCAATTACCCATGTATTCACCCACTCACTCAATTACCTTCTCAAGCATCCACTCATTCAACTACCCATTCATTCACTCAGCCATTCACTCACCCATTCACCCACTGAGCCACTCATTCACTCAGCCATTCACTCATTCGCCCACTCATTCAATTACCCATGCATTCACTCATTCACCCACTCACTCAATTACCTACTCAATCATCCACTCAATCAACTACCCATTAATTCACTCAGCCATTTACCCACTCATTCATTCAGACATTCACCCACTCAGCAATTCACTCATTCCCTCTCTCACCAACTTACTCATTCACCCACTAAGACACTCATTCCCTCGGCCATTCACCCACTCACTCATTCCCTCTCACCAACTCACTCATTCACCCACTGAGCCACTCATTCACTCGGCCTTTCACCCACTCACTCATTCCCACTCTCACCCACTCACTCACTTGAATGTCAATCATAACAACACCGCATGCCTGTGTATATAATGCCCAACGTTTCGGTCAAAGGGCCTTCTCCATGGAGTGCTCAAGAGTCGAAAGCGGTGCTTGATTTAACACAAATTGCCTCGCGTGAAAAAGGGTCATTGCCCGGAACGTCGTGTAATTATATATTTTTGGGGGTTTCTGTGAAGGCAAACCCATAACAACGACTGACACCCAGCAGTAGGAGGCGTTTACAATGATAGTGTAGTGTATAGTCTATAGTAGTGTAAAGTGTAGTGTATAGTCTATAGTAGTGTGTAGTGTATAGTCTATAGTAGTGTATAGTGTAGTGTATAGTCTATAGTAGTGTAGTGTATAGTGTAGTGTATAGTCTATAGCAGTGTGTAATGTAGTGTATAGTGTAGTGTATAGTCTATAGTAGTGTATAGTGTAGTGTATAGTGTATAGTCTATAGTAGTGTATAGTGTAGTGTATAGTCTATAGTAGTGTGTAGTGTATAGTGTAGTGTATAGTCTATAGCAGTGTGTAATGTAGTGTATAGTGTAGTGTATAGTCTATAGTAGTGTATAGTGTAGTGTATAGTCTATAGTAGTGTATAGTAGTGTATAGTCTATAGTAGTGTATAGTCTATAGTCGTGTATAGTCTAGTATATATTGTCGTGTATAGTGTAGTAGTATATCGTGTAGTGTATAGTGTAGTGTATAGTGTAGTATATAGTGTAGTGTATAGTGTAGTGTATAGTGTAGTATATAGTGGAGTGTATAGTGTAGTATATCGTGTAGTGTATAGTGCAGTATATCGTGTAGTGTAAAGTGTAGTATATCATGTAGCGTATAGTGTAGTATATCGTGTAGTGTATATTGTAGTATATCGTGTCGTGTATAGTGTAGTATATCGTGTAGTGTATAGTGTAATAGTGTATAGTGTAGTGTATAGTAGTGTAGTGTATAGTAGTTTATAGTGTAGTGTATAGTAGTGTATAGTGTAGTGTATAGTGTAGTGTATAGTGTAGTGTATAGTGTAGTAGTTTATAGTGTAGTGTATAGTAGTGTTTAGTGTAGTGTATAGTAGTGTATAGTGTAGTGTATAGTGTAGTGTATAGTAGTGTATAGTGTAGTAGTTTATAGTGTAGTGCATAGTGTAGTGTATAGTAGTGTATAGTAGTGTATAGTGTAGTGTATAGTAGTGTATAGTGTAGTGTATAGTGTAGTGTATAGTGTAGTGTGTAGTGCGTGGTATAGTGTAGTGTATAGTGTAGTGTATAGTGTAGTGTATAGTGTAGTAGTTTATAGTGTAGTGTATAGTAGTGTTTAGTGTAGTGTATAGTAGTGTATAGTAGTGTATAGTGTAGTGTATAGTAGTGTATAGTGTAATGTATAGTAGTGTATAGTGTAGTAGTTTATAGTGTAGTGCATAGTGTAGTGTATAGTAGTGTATAGTAGTGTATAGTGTAGTGTATAGTAGTGTATAGTGTAGTGTATAGTAGTGTATAGTGTAGTAGTTTATAGTGTAGTGCATAGTGTAGTGTATAGTAGTGTATAGTAGTGTATAGTGTAGTGTATAGTGTAGTAGTTTGTAGTGTAGTGTATAATAGTGTATAGTGTAGTGTATAGTAGTGTATAGTAATGTATAGTGTAGTGTATAGTAGTGTATAGTGTAGTGTATAGTGTAGTGTATAGTGTAGTAGTTTATAGTGTAGTGTATAACAGTGTATAGTGTAGCGCATAGTATAGGTTACGAGTTACAACGCTACACCAGTTGTGTGTTGGGAAAGTAAAACCCACGACATTTACAATTCGAGTAACCGCAACAACAACAACCAGCATCATCAGGCAGACAGACAGATTTGTACAACGCCTATCTATAGTAGGCTTGGCAAATCATAACAATAACAAAACATTGTTTTTGTTTGCAAGAGCGCCTTGCACTAAACGTCTTAAGGCGTCAATAGCCGTAACCAAGCCGTCGCCTAGCAACGGCCGTCACCTAGCAACGGCCGTCGCCTAGCAACGCGGCCGTCGCATTGCAACGGCCGTCGCCTAGCAACGGCCGTCGCCGAGCAAAGAGGCCGTCGCATGGCAACGGCCGTCGCCTAGCAACTGCTGTCGCCTAGCAACGGCTGTTTAGTGTGACGTGTGATGGGAATGAATGCCTAGTTGTAAATCGACTCAACTTTTGTCAAGAACATTAATTACTCCTTCGTAATGGTAGTCGTCATCATTGTTTACCATCGTCAGGGTCGATCCACTGCTGGATTGAAGATCAATGTGTTGACGGTGGTGATGTCTCATCGATTGTTTTAAATAAACATTAATTTATATTCTTGGTTCTTTCGGTAAAGTCACGTAGAAGGGAAACAATAAAATAATAAAAATATAAAACAATAAAATTCTCACGACGTTTCGACTGCAACACAAGCAATCATCATCAGGTGTGAAAACCATAGCATGATGATGATTGCTTGTGTTGCAGTCGAAACGTCGTGAGAATTTTATTGTTTTATATTTTTATTATTTTATTGTTTCCCTTCTACGTGGAGACTTTACCGAAAGAGTCAAGAATCACACCGAGTGTCTGCTATCACCATCACCACGTCATCATCACCACCATCACTATCACCACGTGGGTGATATCATTATCATCACCGCCACCATCATCACCACGTGGGTGATATCATCACCATCATCATCACCACCACGTGGGTGATATCATCATCACCGCCACCATCATCATCACCACGTGGCTGATATCATCACCACCATCATCACCACGTGGGTGATATCATCATCACCACCATCATCATCACCACGTGGGTGATATCAACATCATCACCACCATCATCACCACGTGGGTGATATCATCATCACCACCATCATCATCACCACGTGGGTGATATCATCATCACCACCATCATCACCACGTAGGTGATATCATCACCACCATCATCATCACCACGTGGTTGATATCATCATCACCATCATCATCACCACGTGGGTGATATCATCACCACCACCACCACCATCATCACCACCACGTGGCTGATATCATCAGCATCATCGCCACCATCATCACCACGTGGGTGATATCATCACCAACATCACCGCCACCATCATCACCACGTGGGTGATATCATCATCACCGCCACCATCATCATCACCACGTGGGTGATATCATCATAATCACCACCACCATCATCATCATCACCACCACGTGGCTGATATCATCATCATCATCACCACCATCATCACCATCATCACCATCATCGCCACGTGGAAATGAATATAGCAGCAGCCAAATACTCTAAACGTGCGCTTCTACAGACCTCGTAGAGACCGATAGA